AAAAAATAAATATAAAGGGAGAGAGAGAGAAAGAAAAAAAAAAAAAAAAAAAAAAAAATCAAAATCAAAATCCATGATTCAAGTTTCTGAAACAAGATTCAATGCCCACAGGATGTCTTGGAGCCAAGCCGAGCATCAAATATGGCACTGATTGTGAGAAGTGTGGTGCGGCCAATTAAGCATACTTTTGAATGCCGCGAATGGGAGCTACTAGTACACAAGCAGCAGCACGCGTATTAGTGGGAGCACTGCAACTAGAAGCAACAGCAGCACTCAAACGGTTGTAGCAATCTTTGATGATGCCCCATGCAGGGACAACTTGTCAAGCCTCATCCCTGTCCCGTTCAATGTAAGTCGACAACAGATGAGATAATCTCGCCTTCAAACGATGAGTGGAGAGTGATAATCCTCGGTTCAAAGAAGAACCAAGCGCCCAGTTTGGGCCATTGCTGAGCGCCGATATCGCGATGTCGGGTCGCTGTCGCTTTTGATGAGATGCGAAAGGGGAAAACGTCCACGGTATATTTGAGTCTCCACCAAGCAAACGGTACCTGAAATGGGAGCTCCCCCTGGGGGCACATCGTTATAGCAGCGGGTATGCTTCCGAATTAGTGTGGAGTCCTCAGCATCTTCTCCATCTTCTCCGTACTGCGCACCTGAAATTAATTGCGCAAACATTGGAGCTCTCGTTTTTGCGTTCGCAATTCGAAGTGTATCGCATAGCACGATATCAATGAGAGGAGAAAAGCATGAAGAAATGATGTACTCAACAGTCGCCACTTGGAGACGTGCTTAGTACCTAATCAGAAGAAAGGAGCAAGGAGAAACACAAGATAGAAGACCCATCGTCTGACAAGATGCTTCTGTGTCTCTGTACGGAGTACTAGGTACACGCTTGTCTCGGCCATGATGCGCGATAAGAAGAGTACTGGTGGATGCCGAATCATTTTGACGAGGAAGAATTAGTCAGTGGATAAACGCCAGGGTAGCTTAAAGTCTTGTCTAAGACTTATCGTCCTTAATCCAAACAACTCTAAATCCAGTGGCACCCAAAAGCCAATTGGAGGGGAACAGGAGGATCAAGAGGCCCCTCTCCGCTGCATTCCAAGGAATCATTGCGTTGTACTTTGTACGAAGCATCTGGAGCTGTTTCAGGCAGAGAGGGGCCTTGTCCATGATCAAGTAGATGATGCCAATCCTTCAGCTTGGCTTGGTCAATGATCGCAGGTGATTGACTTTTCCTCGCTGCTCTGCTTCATCCCATCGTGGCTTGCACTATCGCCGATCCGTTCAACGGATGAATCTGGGAGAGCATGAACTATGACGCCGCTGCCCGTGCGGCCGAACGTAGCGCTACATTTTGTAGCAGCGCGTCATGAACATCCAAAGCAGTCTGACTCGTCCCTCGGTACTCTGTAGACGAGTATCATTCTATCTTTGTACTCCATATTGATGCATGATACCAGTATTGGTACGTCAACAAGAGCCTTGCCTAATGCTGAGAACTGCGCGGGAAAAAAAAATCCAGAGAGGCGCGAAAAGCGCGGGCTTGGCTCATCGCCTCTTAATACCGTCTGTTACCGAATGATGGCCTGGCATATCTAGGCTAGCTTGGGGATGCTTCCTTGCCTGCTTTGCTGGAGGCGCTTTTTGGTGCCGATTGAGCCGGCCATATCCAATAGAGATGTACAGATCATGGACTTCAACGTTGACAGTCCGAACTTGTACAAGCACATGCGTCAATGGTCGGCAAGTGAAAGAGCTTAAGGAATAGCGTTGGCTGCCGTAGGTGGAGGCAAAGGTACCGCTTTACAGACGATGAAATAATATGAAGCGGACTGAAGGAAACCGGGCGGCCTAAACTTGGCGAGCTGGCCGGCTAGGTGCTGGCTTGCTGCACTTTGATCCATTCTCGGTGATCCGCTTGTGATCCATTGCCGTTCCCACGGGGGCATCAATTGAAGCGGAGCATCATCGCTGGTGCTCCTAGGACCCGTGTACATTGTCTGGACGGCGTGTTCCGTTCCCGGTAGTTTTTCTCCGTACTCGGTACAAGCATCGAGCGAGTGGAAGCACAGCAATCAATGCATAGACCCAAGTATGCTGTACCTTGCAGTGCTGAGAATCCGATGGCGAGCGTCATTTTCGCTTCTTGCCGACGGGTCCCCCCATTACGGGACATGGATATCTACAGGTCAAATATGATGATGCTCGTGACTCGTTGCTGCTTGAACCAAGGTGCTATAATTAAATCCTCTCATCCTTGGCCATTCTGAGACCCTGCGTTGGATACGATGCCCATTCGTCGAGGGTCTTATTACTGGATCCCTTGTCAATCCTGCTTGGCCTGGGGTTGCAATTTTGCTGCTTCGGCCTTTGCTCCTACGTATGGTTTCCAGCGACCAGATAGGCTCTGCGGCCGACTGGATCGGAGAAGGGGGAAAGGGGGTCCGACCAGGGATGATGAGCAGGTCGTGGCTAGCTGCTGGGATTACCTGCAGCTGGCTGTACTGTACATACTTGTTGTATACAAGCAAGTGCTGCTGCCATAGAAGCGCCCCATGCGCCTCTTTTTTTCATTCTGCTTGGTGGCATGCGGTGGCATGTGAGGCGCACCGTGCTCCTGCAGCAGTCAAAGCATGAAACGGTGGTTGGCCGGCTTCAAGAAGATGACCACAGATAATCAGGAGCTTGATTTGGTTTTAGCGCTGAATGCCTTGTCTTGTGAACTGGCCGAGAAAAGTGACTGTTTCGAGGTGCACATGTGTGATTAGAGACGCGAATTTTCTTGTAACAGGGGAAGCCCAGTGGCTTCAAGAAGCCTCAGTTACATGTAGTTATACAAGCACCAAGTAATTGAGCAGAAGTAAACTCAGTAGCAAGGTAACGGTGCTGCCATTGTGTGTGTGTTTCTTCATTGCTTTGGTACATATAATGGTCATATCCGGCCTGGTGGCTTGCCGTTGGTACCTCGGAAGGGGGCAAGACTATTGATGAAATCACCTGTACGGCACCCGGAGTAGCATAAAAAGCGAGGCCGATGGCGAGCTGGCACTGGACACGGGGACGGTGCACCGGCGCTGAAAGGGGGTCCAGCGCGCGTTGCTGCGAAAGCATGATGTGCCTGCACTCCTTACCTGCACAGTACAAGTAAGTTAGAATGGCTGCAAATCAAAGGTACCGATGGTGCTCGCAAGGACAAGTACTTCGTACCTACTCGTATGCTCGTAAGCTGTCAGATGGCTTGAAATCCAGCTATGAGCCCTGGCTCGCCTGGGCTGGCACTGGGGAGAATCGAAGCGTTATGTCGATCCCTTGGCTGATGCCGTCAGAAGGGGTAATGGAGAGCGATCGATGAAATTCCACAAGATTGCCAGTGGTGAGAAGAATCAATCATCGGAGCGACCCATTCCATGTCTGTGCCGTTTTGATTGTGCCAAGGAGGGCCTCATTACAAATCGAGGCGAGTAAATGTTCCTGTAGGATGGGCAAAGCCATACAGAGTCCTGGATTCCATGCGTATACTTGCCGGGAGCCGTGATCTTGGGACACACAAGGGTATTCCGCGTACCGTACGGTGTACTCCGTACAGGTACCAGTAATACCCGTATCGGGCAGATCAGCACCAACAAACAATCAGTACGGAGTACAGTGCGCTACTTCGTATCCAGAACTCCATCCATAACGCCAAGCGGCGATCAAATATGCCTTCTTTGGGCCGGGCTCAAAGAACCTGTTGCTGGGGGTTCACTAAGAGCAGTAGTAGGTGTTAGTACGGAATAGCCAGCACTTGGAGATATGTGCCAAGGCTCGACGACCCAAGCGAAAGATGGTGGTTGGGGAAAGGGACATTGGAGCGAGACAGAAGAGAGAATGGAAGCCCTACTGTACTGCGAATAGCGCAGCGATACGCGCGCACCCCCAGCAGGGGAAGAGAGAGAGAGAGAGAGCATCGCCGCCATAGGCTAGGCTGGCGAATAGAGATGCGGATATGAGGTCAGGTCGGTCGCCCAGTTTGGAGTCGTGGTTGCATTGGTGTGCAGATGATGAAGACTGGAAGAGGAGAAAATCTGGAGAGATGCATACGGGTATGTTTGGTACGTACAAGCATACATGTACCTTGGTATTCTGCAGCTGCAGCCTTCCAAGGTTCTTCAGCTTCTTGATACAGAGCAGGTGCATTTGCGAGCACCTGCACATTTCTCTCCTAAGCACTTGGCCGCATATAGGTAGGTACCTCGTACCTTCTCTGCAGTGAACTTGCATCAATTTGATTTATCAAACACCCAAAGCATCTCGCAAGGTACCTACCAGGTGATGAATGGGAATGGTCTAGATTGGAAGAGGGTACGTGGTAGAATATCTTCAAATATCAGGTAGGTTTGTAAATACCCAAGCAACCAAGGTGATATTTTTCCCAATCTCTTTTTGTGTGAGGGTTTGATTCTAAAATAGACCAAGGCATGGCATTAAACTACCCACTGCGGTTAGAACTGCATTTTTCATGTTTGGAGGTGCGCAGGTCTTACCTGGGTTGTATTTTGAGTCCTCAGGGAGCGAAAGAGCGAAGCGAAGCGAAACTTGGCGCCGATGATGGTACGTACCGAGTACACGTATGAGGTACCTTAGTGCAGCGCTCCGCATGTTCAAGCTTCATAACTTGCTTGAGCGATGCTTCGTATCATGTACAAAGACATCTAGTTCGACGCACGCCGAGACTCTGCTGGGCTCGTGGGAGCTCGTAGTTCTCGGCGTGGTATACAAGCCCGTACATTAACCCGGCCTCGTCAATTGGAACCTATAGCACCTAAAACCTAAGGTCGTACGTACCCAAGGTGCTGATAAGATGAAACCAACATCGCCTACGCTGCTCTGTACTGTACAGCACACTGAATCAGGTGCCTTGCTTGGCCCTTGTGGCACAACTTTCTGTGCACGTAAAAGATTCAATACCCTCATGCTAAGGAACTTGCAAGTCAAGCGTAGCGCCTAGGCCAGATTGCCATGGTGCTAACGGCCTTGGCATCGAATACAAGGGACGACGAGCCGGGTACGTACTTTGTGCGTTGTATCCTGTACTGGGGCGAGGTCCGCTGTACCGTGTACTTGTACCGCGACACTCTCTCTGCACACTCCGCGGATGTTCCCCTTCACCCCCTCTAGATTGGCTTCTAGAGTCGCCTCGATTTAGACGTTGTCCATTGTTTTTTATTAAATGCCTCCACCTCCCACGCTTTTTACCACTTCTCTCTCTTCTTGTCTTGGCTAAGAAGAGAGGCGAATAACAAGGGAAAGATTCTCCACCTTTTAGTTTCCTCTCTATCTTGCTCTCTGCTCGGGCTTTTTTTAAATTCTCGTTCTCTTTCTTGATTCATCACCTACATATCTTATTCACTTATACTTTCATAGCCGTTATCGTCACCAAGGCCAACATATAAAGCCTTTGCCTATCCGCTCCTTTTTCATATCGACACCGAAACCCAACTTGGCATCTCATCACCTTCACCGACTTGGTTCACGCAACACACTGCACAGCTCTCCAAGCATTGGCTTACAGCCCACCTCCAAGTGATTTAAAAGCCTCGGTGGGGACNATACGACCGACGCATCAACGCGGAAAGGCCAAAGAGGAAAATCGCAGATTCAATTAACAATAAACGAAGCAAGCAGGAGCATAAAAAAGATTGAGGGAGTGGGAATGGGAACAAGAACAGGGCCTGAGATTCAACGCTCCGATAACGTTAAACTCCACACATCACCGCCACCGGCTTGAAACGAAACTTTGACGTCGCCATCTCCAAGCTAGTAGGTTTTGTTCTATTCTGAGGCACATTCAGCGCATCTCCCACAGCAACCCCCTCCTCGACGTCTTTTTCCTTCGGTGTCCAAAAACCAACAAAAGATTGCCCGTGGAAATCAAAGCCAACATCCACGGCAGAAATTCACCGTTTCGGCAACACCGCGGACTTGAATCATTTTCGTCATCACACCCAAGCCTGTTTGCTGCTGAGTGGTTAAACTCGCCAGCCCAATTACGTCGCAGTCCCGCCCCAGAGATCCCTCCCAAGCAGGATCGTCCCCGAATCGAACGCTTCTAGAGAAGCACCAGCAGCATCCTGATTCGACTTCCAAGACCGCGCCTAGACGCTAGCCAAGCACACCAGACGCAGCTTTTCGAGGCACAAGCGGCGCCTTACGATTACGCACAGGTGCTGTACCACCGCTTGCTCGCTTCCAGAACAGTGGAGCTCTCCAGCTACCTAGTAGGCCATCCTAGGCCCTCCAGCTGCCAAACCAACCGCCAGAGCTATGGCGCTTTCAGCAGGTCCGGGGATGCTGGTTCCTACAGCTTCAGCGCCAGTAGCGCCGCCAGCAGCACCCCAGCCAATTCCGGCTCCAGACAGTGAGTGACTTATTCGCATTTGATCCATTTTGTTAGATAAGCCTGGATGCATTGATTTCAATGGCGATTTTTCCCTTTTTTGTCTCTTTTGTTTCCCCCCTCCTCTTCCCTCCATTCAAAAAGAGGCTTCTGTGGCACCCGCAAACGCCTCTTTCTGCGCTGCAGGTTTTTTTCCTTGGCGCGCATATCGTCTCTTCAACACCACCATTTGCGCCTCCTGCTGAATAATTCGCTCCAACATTCCACCATTTGTTTACACTATTGATACCTATAACCCTATGTTATCTTATACTCTTGCCTTGCCTATGCCCTAACTTCCCTTGAGCAAGCCGGCTTGATTTTACTTTTGTTTTCTTATTTCTTTTTATTCTTTTCTTCTTCTTTCTTAGACTTCCTTCTTCTTTTCCATTTTCGCCCTCATTGTTGCTAACCCCGATCTGCAACTTCTCCCAGAGAACAATTGCGCGCAATCCCTTCAATACTCCTCTGATACCAGCAACTACTCCGACACCGGTTCGCCTCCCCGCCAAGCGCCAATCGATCTCCCAGATCCAATCCTCGAGGGTGACGAGACGGAAAGCGAGGGTCCCATTGAGCCAGTTACACCTACAAGCGGCCGCCAATCGCAAGATTTTACCTCGCTGAGGAATGCGCATGACCAGGATCAGGACGACCGCAGCAGTTTCAACACACAGTCAGACCAAGGTTTGCATCAGCAGCCTGCCGGCACTGTCACATCTGCAGGCAAGGCCGCTATCCTCTCTTCGTCTTCGCGCAAAACAGCGTCAGTCGCAGCCTCTGTTGCGCCCTTGACCTCGATCCCAACTCTGAGACCGACCTCTAGACCAACCTCCAGACCAACCTCCAGCAGTCTCCTCTCCCCTACATCCGTACCACCTGTCTCAGTTTCAAAGCCAGGCACGGCTTCTTCTTCTGAGCTTGCACGCAGCATCAGCAATAGCAACAAATCTCTTATAGATCTGACCCCCACGTCGAGCCGACCTTCTTTTCAAGAACTCCCCCCACCAGCGCAACGCTCGGGTCGACTTTCAACTACCAGTATCAGAAGCACAATGACGAATTTCTTTCGCCGCCCCGGTACGCAAGACGCCCCGGTCTTTGAATCCGGATCGCCTACGCCCTCAGAGTCTTCCTATCTGCAGCGACCCCCTACAGGCAGCGCCCGCCCAACTACTCGCTCAAGTCGCTTCTCATTTACAAGGCCGTCTAACACGACTACTCGGTCTAATTCGCCTCCATCTCCCGGGGCGCCACCTCTCGAAATGGTGCAGGCGGATAAAGTGTCTCTTGATGAGGCCGACCTCAAGAAGAAGAATCGTGCATCAACCGGATTTAGCCTGCGGGGGCGAGCCGTCAACTTTGTCGGCACAACCGTCGGCCGTACTACTGGGCGCCCTCCTAACAAAGCGTCGCGCCGAGCCAACAGCTTTGACGCTGGAAACCGTGGGCCGGTTCCTCATCCGCACGCCAAGATCAATGCCGGAGACCAGACGTATCCTCCCGAGCGACAGCCATGGGCGATGCCCCCCGATGCCGGAACTGGCGCCAAGGCACGTCGCATGAGTTTGAGCCTGCCCGACGATTTCAATGTGGATGTCGCGGTGCTGCAGGATGAGTTTGAGTACCAGAGCAAGCTTTTGGGCCGGCATGGCAAGCATCTTGGAAAGGGCGCCGCTTCCAAGGTCTCACTCATGGTGCGAAAGGGCTTCCCCACCGAGATGTATGCCGTCAAGGAGTTCCGAGGCAAGTCAGGCCGGGAGAGCAAGGAGGACTACGACAAAAAGATCAAGTCGGAATTCAGCATTGGAAAAAGCTTGCATCATCCCAACATTGTCGAGACTATCCGACTCTGCTCAGATCACGGACGCTGGAACCACGTCATGGAATACTGCTCCGAGGGTGACCTGTTTAGCCTTGTGCAGAAGGGCCATCTGAAGGGTGAGGCTAAGCTTAAGGACCGCCTATGCCTCTTCAAGCAGCTCATCCAGGGCGTCAACTATCTCCACGCCAACGGCATCGCCCATCGTGACATCAAGCTCGAGAACCTGCTCATCACAAAGGACAGCAAGTTGAAAATAACCGATTTTGGCGTTTCCGAAGTCTTTTGCGGCACTCACCCAGGCCTTCGCGAATCCGGCGGCCAATGTGGTAAGAACATGGGCGAGATCCGGCTCTGTCGCCCGGGCATCTGCGGCAGCGAGCCATATATTGCGCCCGAAGTGCTGTTGAAGAATGCAGACTACGACCCGCGAGCCTTGGACGTGTGGAGCGCAGCCATTGTCATGATCTACATGACTTTTGGCGGTGCCATTTGGTCCAGGGCTGAAGCCGGCAACTTGCACTACGACAAGCTAGTGACGGGCTGGAATAAGTGGAACAAGAAGCACGAGGAAGAAAAGGACGCTGTCATCACGGATACGGACTACCCCAACTGTTACGCTCTCGATGTCGGTGTTAACCCTCCGGCCCTGCGACGCATTCTGTTGCAGATGCTCAACCCTAATCCCAACAGCCGTATCAGTATCTACGAAGTCATCACCAATCGATGGGTCAAGAATATCGAGTGCTGCCAACTCGAGTCGTACGATGATCCCAAGGTTGTGATCGATGTGACCAAGAAGGATTACGGCGGCAAGGGCGGAAGCAAGATCTTCTGTCATAACCATCTTCCACCAAAGACCCATGGCTCTCACTCGTTGGGTAAGATGCCTGGTCAACCTGGCTACTAAGCCCCCCCCCCCTTGGTATTCGCCAGCAATCCACCATATATCAACCATCTTACTCCCGAACCTCTTTTGTTTTTTTCATATTTTTAATTCATAGAATCAGGAGTGGAGCGAAGTGGCTTTCTCTTTTCTTTTTCCTTCAACATGTTCGCATCTCTTTCTGAGGCGAACTCATAATGACCTCTCTGGTTTTATACATCGCGGTCTACTATTTTCTTTTTCCTTCGGGGGTTGTTTTCTATGGGGCGGTGCACTGTCCAGGTGGGAATAAGAGCTGTCATCGCACGTATTGGAGTTGGAGCAAAGAGCCGAACGACCCAAAGACGGAGAGTCAGCCCGGCAGGCGTTCTATTGGAGGTTGAATATTGTCCTTTTTCTTACCCTTCAGTATTTTGCGGGTCACCGTCTTGCCTTTCTATACTTGGATGGCTGGTCGATGTTTCTTCGCAAATACGGCATTTCATTACAGAGCATATATGGGACATGAGATCGTTAGTCGATCCAGCCTTTTTCTTCTTCTCTTTGTTCTGGGTTTGTTGCATACATCAAGACGGGGAGATGAGTCCACGCGAGTGTCATGATATCCTTTCGCCCAGTAGAGTGGGCAGCCAATAGTGTTTCATGCATGCATGGAGGATTCCATGCCATTTTCTTATTTTTTCCTTTGTGCGTGCTTCTACAGGAGAGGCATGGAAATTCGTTGAAAAAAGAGGGTTGGCAAGTTTGTCTTTTGAGATCTTTCCTCCTTTCCGTGGAATGAGATGGGAAGGCTACGAGATCTGGAAGGGTTGGTAATGAGCGCCCAGTCAAGCAGTGCGCCTTGGGAGGAAACGCATATTCCCTTTTCTAATAGACTACTGAAGATGTACATTAGTTAATCTTGCCAATAAATTCAAAGAGTAAAATCTGGCATTGCAATAAAAGACCACCATAGTCCTTGATGCAGCTAAAGTCGTGTATCCTGCCTGCTCCCGTTGTGACGTCGTGTACCAAGTGACCCAAAAATTTTACAGCATCATGATCCATTGTAATAACATGGGCAAAAATGAGTGCGGCTGTGGTGAGACATGCAGAGCTTCACGTGGGAGGCTTGAACGACACGAATTCGGAGAAGGCCGCGGGAGAGGCTTGGCTGGCTCTCCAATAGCTTAGCAAGCCGATTCTCGACACTTGGCGCGTAGCCTGTCCAAAGGGAAGAGGACTAGTGACAGCCAGCGTGGTGAGAATGTGGCAATGGGGAGGGACCTTGTGACAATGAGGAGCTGCTAAGGGCGGCCGTCAGAATGTTACAGCTGATACTCTGGATTCATGGCAAAATTATTAGGTGAGCCCGGTCAGAGCTGAAATGAAAGCTGCTTACAAGCATGCATGGAACCAGAGTGAGTGCATGGCATCACAAGGCGGATGGATAGTTGGCAATAGTGTAGGCACCGTTAGTACCGCTATTGCCTCACGGTTTTGGCTGCATGACGAAGGGGGTGTGAGCCATGCAGGCATCTGCAAAGAAGGATTCTGGAGAAGGGAGAAGCTATTCGTCGACAAGAGCAGCTGTGTATCCCTTGTAAAATTTGGCATGTGAAGCCTTCTAACCAAGGAGTGGATTCTCATGAGTAAAAGACAGGTTTTTTTTTTTTTTTTTTGCTTTCTTTTCTTTTTCGCCCGCTTTGAAATGTGAGGCACGAGGGCTCTGACGATGGCCAATGTTGAAGCACTGACAATGGCCATGTCGCCTTGTCTCCTCTCCTATGCGCGCAGCACGGGCTTTGGATTCGAGCAGCCCCTCTCTGTTGAAACCGGAGCACAGATGATGGGAAACAAATTTTTGCCGATGCTTGGCCACGGAGGCGTCGTTGTTCGTGCCATCTATTTCCATCATCAACTAGCTGCATTGCATGGGTTGGATTGATCCCCGATATGCATCCGTTGCCGTTGTCGGGCGATTGCTGCCGGCTTGGCTGCAGATCAGCCGCAGGGAGTCGATCGCATGTTGCGTGTGTATGGCCAAGGGTATTCAACGCACATCCGTCTGTTTTTTTAACAGGAGATGCGACTGCCGTGCTTGGATCAGCGGTTTCAATCGGCGCGTCTTGCGATATCGGCTGCATGCAACGGGAGATTCCATCTGGTCGAGCTCGGCGGACGGGTGACCATGATTAATCGTAGAAGCGCCGAGGCCGATGGTCACTTGTTTCCTCATTCCATCACCGACTGACTCGGGTGTCTAGCACCGAAGGTCTAATGACAGCTTGGTCTGTCGTTAGATAGCCGCTTTACGCGGTTCAAAGGGCATGCTGGTACGCGAAAGCACAACTTGTCTCGTAGTACAGATATATCTAGTCGGTGTGAATGCTAGTAGACCTCTGGGCTTGGCTGGATCTCCCTTGTATGTAGAATCCCTCAGCCATGGCCCCCAGTCTTGCCGGTGTGCCGTAGATGGTGTGAAGATTGCATGTGAGGCTGTTCTCTAGAGCATTCTCGTAGGGCCGTCGACAGATGTAGAGAGTACTTGACGGTGTCTCGAGACTATTTTATGAAAGTAGCATGTACTTACACAGCTTCTTAGATCTCCAACTCTGACCGCCCCCATCTCCAAAGGGGGCGTGTGCAGATCTGCACAGGCAGACCGCTGATTTGGCACCTTGAGGATCGACCTGCCAGTACCAAGTCGGGTATTCTTTGAGATGCTTTGGGGGCCAATAATGCCATGCGTTCAGATGTAGACGGAATACACGTATCTAACGCCGGCAGCGCGAGCCAAACAGCGCCTCGGGTGCGGAGTATGATCAAAGATGCATCTCCTCGGAGATGGCGGTTGAATGACGTTTGAGAAGGACGAGTTGCAATCTGCCACGACAGCTTATACGTAGACCGATATGTAAGGGGACTTCCCAAGAGGGCTTCTAAGGTTACAATCATGGGGCTTTGAACTTCTCCAGCTTCGTTTGCCTTAGGGAGATATCGTCACGGCAAGTGGCTTCGGCTGGCACCCGATTCTCCTCTTTGGCGCAAGCTCTATCAAGATGGGTCATGGCGTTGACACCAAAAGGATGTGTCTGTGGGACTTATTAGCAGCTTCTCGTAAAAGTAGATTGGATCCAGGCATAGACTTAACTCGAGATCGTCAATCGCATATCCAGCATTATAGGCAGATCCAAAGACATAGAGGTACGACTAATAATTTTTGTCGTCAAGATCAGCCAATACCATTCACTAGGTGGCAGGTTCTCTAAATGCTGTCAATGGCAGTGACAGTCACCACATTAAAGGTTTGTGAAAGAGAAAATAATGTTAGAATTGGACGAAACGATCTCGAGAATGTGATGGAGAGACATGATATCACATGATTTGTTTCCTCTATCAAAGTCGCAGAATGGCAGAAAAAAGAAGGAAAGTGGCAGAAAGAAGTACCCTCCACCGCCTTTGATCTTCTGCACACCATATCTGCCTTGCTGAATTCTTGAAAAGTCTCTCTTGATTCATAATTCTCGTTTGTTATGCCATGCTTGGAATATTACGACACATGCTTTTCCAGTGATTGAGTATCATATGCCTTGACTCGCACCTGGACAAGAAGAGGACCCATGGAGTTCAGAGGTTGAAGATGTATGGCGCTGATCAACCAGAAAAGTCCAGCCAGTGGACGCTGTCAAACTTAGTAGGTTACCATGTCTTTCCATATGTTGTTTAGCTTCCCAGAATGTGATCTGACATTGAAGGCTAGGTAGCATTTCTAGTTGAGAAACTTTGACAAGTCAATGGCGGCAATATGAGACTCTTCAACTTCTTACTTGTGTACTAGCACATTCCAACAATCACGGACACTTAAACAACGCAAAGAGGATGTGAGTGTGCCTTGAACGGGGAGAGACACAGAGCTGTATTGGTTGTTGTCTACTTACTGCATGCGACGAATATGGGTCGATACCTTCGTACTAGACATAATCTTGTCACTATTGATTGGAGTCTCTGACCCAACGATTCACTCCGGAGACCAATTGCTGGTATGCTGCCAACTGAAATTACCATAGGGTACCTTGTCTATGGCAGGAGCTTGACTGTATTGGTGCGGCGGAGCTTCGAAGCTATGTATAAACAGGCCAAGATCAGAGCGTGTAGTATGTCCACCAAAGTCGATCCCTTTCATTCCAATATGTACTTGTGTGTTCTAATAATAGACAGGATATGCAAAGGCCCACGGCGCGGAACATTTAGAAGCAAAGTTGTTAACAGGACGCAGTCATACAGGGTCTTCACCACGACAGGTTACCGGTACATTTTGCTTCCAAAAAGTTCCACCTATCTGCATCTTGGGCAATTTTGCACTTCAATGACCACACCACGACTTGCTATATCGACCCGAACCACTGCTTACCAACTTGATAACGGCCAAATATCTTGCAGTTGGCTCTGCTAGGGTAACACCTAAACTAGGCATAAAGAAGCCTATTTACTGACTACCATTCGATTAAACACAATGGTCTCTTCGATTGCCCCAGTCATTGATCCTCCACTAAGTCGCCTCACAGGATCACTTCCGTCTCCAGCATTGAACGCAGTATTTAACATCCATGGACTACTCAAAACCCGTGGTCGTTCTGGTCAGCATCATAGGCCAATTTTCGTTATCGCCCTTGGCATTGTGACGCCGGCGTGGAAGTTGGAGGCTACGTCATGCAGGATTTAGGAACATGCCACCACTCCACTAAATCTCGCAGCCCTCGGCGACCTGGCTTTCGCAAGCGAATTCTCAAACTCTCATCATCAGCCTCACCGAAAACAACACCATTCACAATTCTTCTGTATAGCGCATTGCTTCAATATCACTGCCGAAATGCCTCTCTCCGGGCCACCCCTCGTCTTAGTCGCCACGGGCGTCGTTGGCTCGTCATGGCTCTCAGGTAAATCCCAAATTCCAAATCTTTAAGTCAAGTTTCGTATGACAAAAATCCATTCTTATTCATCTCTCAAACAGGGGCTATCATGTCTTTTTCAATTGGTGGAGCGCCGGCTGCTGCCGCGGTGAAGCAATCGTCTGCTAAAGTCTGGGCTGAGTTGTATAAGCGAGGAGCAGCTTCGATGCCAAAGGTAGCCATCGGCACGTCTCTAGCTTACCTATACGCAGCGTATGACTCTTACTACAACGAAGGGCCATGGGGGATCTATCTGGGGGCCGTTGGCTCCGTTCTGTCTATCATACCTTTCACATTGACAATTATGAAAGACGTCAATGGCCAATTACATGAAGAGGCCCGCAGAGAAAGCGAGGTGACACACGCAAACACACTGCGAGTCGATGGCCTCTTGGACCGATGGACTACCCTGAATTTCATTAGAAGCCTCTTGCCTCTTGCAGGAACGGCCTTGGGATGTCTTGCGTTCTACCGCGGTGGATTCTAATGTACTCATACAGTTTTTATGAGAAGATTGTCAATCGCTCAGCAAGTGAGGAGATACAGGACATTGATTTGCCACCTGGTGCATCCAGATCAACATGTCTGTGTGGTTCAGTCCACGCCTGAATTATGAATGACATGGCCATGAATGTGATGGCACAGTTCTATTTTCTACTTATTATGTTTCATTATCATTGTCTACCGGTAATTATACGTGGTGCGCCGGTTACACTGCTCATGCATCAGATAATTTGCTTCAGTCACACAGCCGGAATGACAGGTTGATCACCCAACAAGAAACCTCAAAACCTAGAGGAAATGAGACACTTGGTATTACAAGATACTCATTTATTTACTACGAATGACTAATGGGGAAAAAACAAAAGGCAAAGCGGCTGCCGAGCACGTCCATGTTCCCGAAGTAGGCAACCGAAACACATACCCAGATGGCATGATGGCTGTCGATCTTACCTACAACGCTAGATATTGCTGCAAAAGTGACTACCTGTTCGTCGTAGCCTTAGTTACGCCTACCAAGCGCTCTCATATTTCACGAGCGGTACACTGAGCACACCAGGCGGGTTACTGACCAGCCGTCTTGGCCTCACTCATTCTGCCCCATGACACTTTATGAAAAAGGGCGAGAATTATAATCGACCTGCAGCTCTGCTCTGCTCTGCTCTTTTCTTTGTTGGTCAGGCAATACTTTGCAGTGTAGGATTGTTTGTCTAATGTGAAACAAAAAAAAAAGCAATAACTTTCAGGGATTATCATCCTTCTCGGTATACTTGGGAGGGCGGTACCATTGTACGGCCGACATCCCAGCGGATAAGCAAGGCATTCCTCGATATGTGTTTGCCGATAAAGTAAGGCTCTCTACGGAGCGGGAACTTGCCGATATCAATCGGAGCTTGACACCCATGAATACCAACAACAGGGGTATGAATAGCATGTGTTAACGACCGAATTAGGTCTTTCCGATCTGGATCGGGGCTTGGCTTTGCGGCCATCGAGCGCCCCGAGTTCTAGACCGGCCACGGACTGTTTGCTGCGGAGCCGCATACATGATTATCGCCGGAAAGAAGCGGTAGGCAATAAAGGCGCAGAAACAATAGATGGGTCCGCTTGTGACAGATTGACATGCTTTTTTTCAGCTCAAAGACATGATCACATTGTGAGCACAAAGTCGTCATTTGCAAGAGAAGGCTATGGTGAATGGGAAACCCGATGGGTGTGTTTCATGGCTCCAATGAAACTTACGAAACATCACTGTACCATGAGATATTGCTATGATACGCCGGAGCTGTGGTCACCGACCTTTGTGTGATCAGGCCACAGAAAATCGACATCCTTGATCTCCAGTCGACAAAGGACAATGGCTCATTCCAAAGTACATCATCAAAGCAACCGAGAAGCTTTGGGTTGAGTGAAGAGACGCACGGTAGCGTCCCTGAAATACGCCTAACCCATCTTAATAAAGAGGATACAGTCTTGGCAGCAGAAAGAGGTGCCGTATGTTTTCGAGATAATTGGCTAGCGTATCTCGACATTTTCGCCACATATTGACTCCAGCACAACTTTGCATATTTTGCATGCCATCATAAATTCTACGTTCAAGGGACATATCGGGCACCGAGGAAAGAGCCGACCAGACGGAGTATGTCTATGAGAGTAGTTGATCCAAAGCTCGATGGCAACCCCCCGACTCCCTTGGGGAGATGTGAATGAAACATGTGAAACCCCTCTCATCACACTATGAAAGTATATCCATGTGAGTCTTGCCCTTTCTAGCTCTTCTCTCTTGACTTGGTGGAAACAGGATATGCCCCTTCCACCTAAAAGACGGAGCTGGAAGCGGCCAAGTAGTAATAGCCATTACAACAACAACCAGTTTCTTATGAACCTCATCTTTGCACATGAGCTCTTGGGGGAGGAGGTTTTCTTCCGGACTGTTGCAGTAGCTTCTATTAAGCATGGAGCTATCGTGGCCTAGCATTCATGGGAATTCAGCAGGTAGGGTACAGGCAGTGGGGGACAGATATGGCCAAGAGTGGTTCAATGGCCCTTCCTATCATCGTTATTAATAAGACTCGTACTAACCAAGAACATATTTTACTTGGCCAGTGTACCAGGATGTGAGATTGAGGCAGCAGCCTAATCACATCCTTCGGCATGATATCCTGGCGGTCAGATGTGATAGATGAAAGGCTCGATTCCTATACGACGCCACAAGCGCGAGGAGCAAGGCAGACCCATGTACGCCTGTACGCTTATATGCTGTGGGAGCTAGGTGATGAGAGTGTGCCAACAAGGCACTCGTAGTAGTACGAGTAGTAAGTAGCCAGGCTCGCTCGAATAACCATGTCTCTCTGACTTGGTAAATAGTGAGCACTTCTTATACAAGAGTTCTTAGCACAAACCACAGGTGACTGGCTGTGTGAAGCATGTCTCAGCTGAGGTCTCACACTCGATCCAGATTCAGCTCTGTAAAGGTAGATCTCATGCTCACAGGTATATTGTTGCACATAGGGAGAATACACTGGCAAGTTGGGAATCCAACAGTGGTCAATGGGTATGCAGTGCTCGATGCTGGCCTGCAGCCCTGGTGATCTTGGGTCCGTGAAGGTGTGGTGGAAGCATACTGACATTGGCATGGGTCTCTTCCTTGTCATGTCTCGCGCCATCTTGCGGTGTTTATCTAGCTCTGCCGTCTTCTTAGCGTCTCTCTGCATTTGTCCATCTCTCCGCCTTACCTGATTCTCCCGTCTCTGTCCGTCTCCATCTGTCTCTCTCTCTCAAGCACCGGGGCTCTGCCACATCTCCCCTGCTAGACTCCCATTTAGCCTCTTGGCAAAGTATCCGGCTCACCGGATTCTGGGTTACGAGCTGCAGTCGTCCCCGGTTCCCAGGACACCCACTTTGACCATCATTTCCGAAGATGTCAAATCGGAGGGTTAAGGCTGTGGGGAGGGCGGCACAGACGGTGACACGACTTCTTTGCAAAGACCAATTTCTTTTTTTCTCTTCTTTTCTTTTCTTTTTTCAGATGAATGTAATCTTTTTTTGCTTTTTCCTTTCCCTTACAGGTAAATGTTTCTGAAAATAGGCTCGTGATTTGATTGATGTGTGCAATCCTGCCCAAGCAAGAGCCCGAGGCATTCGTACTCGCACCAATCCACGGGCCTTCAAGCCGCCTTCCTCCCGGTGCACCTTCCTCCTCATCCACATCCAGTGTGTCTCAAGAAGTGATGCAATGAAAATTGAATGGGAACCTGCGTGAGCCACACCGTATTCATCACGTGATGGTATGTTCGCATAGATAATTACCTATGTACTTCGTAGAGTCTGCCGGAGAAACTTGCAAGCTTCACGCTCAACAGCAGAACATGTGCGAATTCGCCGTTGCGATGCCCTCACCACCTCTCACGGCCATCCGCACTCACTCTCGCAACGAGATCAAAATGTCCTGTACTGTATAGTACAGGCATGACCATCTTTGTGCTTAACCGATCAAGCCCAGGCCCACAGGGGACGAATCAGGTTGCAGTGTGTGTAACAGACGCTCGAGACAGCAAGGATTACATCCTCCCTTCTGACTCAAATGTTTGCTTCTCTGCATGATTTTGGCGCCGCCATCCAGCCTCATGCTGCGTTTTACTTGGTTGCTATTGGTATATCCGGATGCTACTGCATGCAGCTCACGCTAGATATTGATTCGCAAGTCCTACTCTACTTTCTCTCCTTGGACCTTTCGCTTCCGTCTTCTCCTTCTTACACCTGTTCCTTTCGAAGTGATTCTACCTCTTTTGACAGAAAAGCGTGTACGCGGACTAACACATGCTTGAATCAGGAAACTCTTCCCAACCAAGTCCAGGCACCATGCTTAAGCATCCATGGACGAGGGAACTAAAATAATGACGGGAACTAGCCCCGGGAGCCCGGAGTCTTGCACCCATCACGGGCGGGACACAAGCCACGAAATTGCCAAGTCGAGACCGGTGAAGCCACTAGCGTCCGCGAAGGGGTGTTTGCATTTAGTCCACGCAGCTGAAGCGCTCCCAGACATGGCTTCTATGGCGTGGGGGAGTGATGTTGATGCCACAGTAAACGCCGATGAGTGAGAGAGCACGGGTGTGTTCCTCATCGTCAATCATCTCTGCCTTTCCTGTCGTACCAGAGATAGATCCAGGATCTTATTCGCTGCCGGACCTCCACGAGAGGGGCTCTCTTACTACAAGATCTGTGCTCTGCTGATGCCAATACATGATACACACTGTACCCTTGAACAAGACGACGAATGAAACCGGAGCAAGCGCAAAAGTAAAGCAATAGCAAGCATCATGCATAAGGATGGAGCATCTCGGGGACTAGGCCATTGTGACGTGGTTTCCGGGCTCATTGAGAACCAGCCTAGGGTAATCTAATTTCGATGCATCTGCTTCCCATCTCTCCCCACGGCATGCAGGTGCTCATCTGCGTACTTGTACCTGGGTATGTTGCCCGGTATCCGATGCTTCTGAGTGAAACACAAAACCCGCATTACCAATATGCCCACCTTGAGTGCTCATTATTACTTATTGTTGTCGCAGAGATCTCTCTCATAATCGCAGGTGACGTGAGTTGTGGCTGAGACAAAGTCTTGCTGGCTTGCCGTGCTCAGCTCCTCGTTGTACATTGCTGTACACGTGTGTATATCGCTCTCTCGTGCAAACTACTTGAGTCAAACACCACCTGTCGTTCAGGCGGCAGGTATATAACCAGGATCATCTCGTTATTGTTTGCGGAGCAGCAACCATCTTCAGGTCAGATATTCATGCCGAGCTCGCAGTCATATTCTTTGTTTATACCAAGATTCCTCCCAAATTTCATAACGTCACCACCCACTCCAGCGGTTTGAATCGAAAGCGGCAATGCCAATTACCACAATCCTCCAGCATCAGAGAGATAGAGAGAAGCTAAACCAGCCCGACTTAGGCACTCCTGTGGTGGCGGAAGAAGATCACAATATCAGAAATAAGGATACCATCAAAGAGGTCAGATTTTTTTTCTTGGGCCCTCCGCTATATAACGATATGTTGGGATATTCTACTCACGAAAGAGAAAGACAGCCGCAGTAGCTGAGCGATGGGTTGCCCCCGATTCGACTCGTCAAGCAAAAAAGCTCAATAATTCAAAGTCTAGCTGCCCAAAGGTCGCTACATTGTCTACAAAGAAAGATTCCTCTAAGAGTTGCAAGGTAAAACAGACAAACTCAAATCGCCGCATTACACGTGGAAAGACAACCGCTCAGCCACGAGCGACGCCCATCGATAGGCACAGTCCTAGAACGATGGCTACTGTAAACTGCGATCTTAGGCGGGCATCTTGTGGAATGCAACAAAACACACAGCCATCTCGTAAAAGTAATAAGCCTCGACAGAATGCTCCCTCGGAGCACCACGGGGGCCCGCCGTCCCCCACCGACTCGGTGTACGAGGTTGCACGGCGTGCTGTCAACTTTCTCGATATTCACAAGACTCAGGATACAGCACCTCAGGATACGGCACCTCGGAATACAGTACTTCAGTATACAGCGCCTCAGAATGCAGCGCCTCAGGATACAACGCCTCGGGATACAACGCCTCGGGATATAGCGCCTCGGGATATGGCGCCTAGTATCATCGATGCTCAACAGGTGATTCTTAATAATACTATCGGGGAGGTAAGGACTCTGGAAAGATGTAACGCTATACAGACACCTCCTGCAAGCCATAGCAGCGCACAAACATCTCCTGTGAGCCACAAGCGTGAGAAGACGCCTCCCATTCGTTGGAGCACCATACAGACATATCCCAGTTGTCGAGATGCTATTGTAAGCGATTTAGAACTATCGCCTGTCTGTGATAACCGTTAACATGAGATATAGGTGTTTAGTGATAAGAAAAGGGAACGTGAGATGATCTCTAGACAGCAGCGCACGACCATGCAACGACCACGCCCGAAACCCTCCAATGGGCCACGTCCAAAGTCAAAGTCGGCGGCAGCTCGACGACGGGCGATGCTCAAGCATTCTGTGACATATACGCTGCCGGCTGCGAATCCACAGACTCCTGCAGCCCCAGACCAACCAGCGGTTTACCATCCAACAATGACTTCAAATCAAGCACATCCTCCACCGACACCTGTACACTCAGTGATGACTCTACGCCCGGGACCTGCTTCATATCCGCAATTGATGCCACGACCACCCACGGCATCCCAGAGAATGGCAAATACACAGCCGCCAGCGAGATGGCAGCCTATATACCCGAAATCTACCCATCCGGAATCTAAAAATCCGCAATCTGGAAGCTTCCATACTCACCATCTTCCATCGGCCTACTCAGAATCCACGCACTCACAACCATTGTCTGCCTCACAGACGGTTGGAGTGTCGCAAGAAATGACGGCGTCAGAGCCAACAGTGACTTCACAGCAGGCGACTACAGTCGCGAAGGAGACAAATAGAGAGCGTGCCCGCCGCCTCAGAAGAGAAGCACAACTCAGAAAAGAAGCTTCCCTTCTGTGCCGAGATGGTCATCCGTTGGATGACCCTCTAGGAACCACTATAGAAGGGTTTCGTCCGAGCGTGGGAAATAGAGTGGTCGAACATCTCATAAAGCATAACCCTGAGGCTGTTGCAGCTTCCAAGCTATCCCATACGATTCCTAAAGAGACTGCTGTGCATTATAACAGTATATTAAGCTGGCAAGCTGAAAACGCACAAACCACTGGAGATCCTTCGCCTCATGGGCACCCAACGCATTTCAACAATGTGGAATCAAGGGCCGCGTCTTCTGATAGTGGACCAGCCTCTCGAGAAGCACAAACTCTGGCAGTTATCGTTGTACCAATTAGAAGCGCGCCAGTCTCTCAGCACATTGTCAACACTGAAATTCATCCTCATCATAGCCATTCGAATACATTGGTCCCACAACGTGGTATTCAATCACATCCATATTCCAGAGTCCCATCTGGGGAGTCGGATAATGCTCCGAATGGATATGGTAATTATTCATCAGCATCAACACAGCAGAGCACGTATGAACAGAGAGAGAGGACGGTAATGGACAATCGCGATTGCGATATACAGGAGATTTCTCGGCAGGATTGGCAGGCAGCTAACAAAGACAGCCCAAGATATCGGGCTAATCAAAGAGCCCAATCTGTTGTGGCCTCGGCTCCGTATGAAAGGACTATGGCATCTTCGGCCTCTGCTTCTTCAGTAAACTCACAAAGCATCCCTGAGCCATTTTTTGAGGATAGTGAGGATATGCTATGTTTTGGGGAGAGTGAGGATATGATGTTACCACTGAGCCCCCAGAGCCCCATCCGTCAAAACCCAGTGTCCATTTCAGCTCAAGCTCAAGTTCAAACAGTCAGGAGGCCATCTAACCAAGCCAGTCCCATATATGGTGGCATTCACAAACGGAAACCTAGTCGAGCCAGCCGAACTTCGCCGCCGCAAACTACGATGTCTCGAATTGCCATATCTCAGCTTGTGCATTCTTCAGTTGAGGCATCGAAAGCATGTGTGCCTCAAACTGCAGTGCGTCGAATCGCCATATCTCAGCTTGTGCTGCCTTCAACGGTACCTCGAATCGCTATATCTCAACTTGTGCATTCTTCACCGGTGCCTCGAATCTCTATATCTCAGCTTGTGCATTCTTCACCGGTGCCTCGAGTCGCTATATCTCAACTTGTACATTCTTCACCGGTGCCTCGAATCTCTATATCCCAACTTGTGCATTCTTCAAATGAGGTACCGAAAACAGTGGTACCTCAAAATACAGTGCCTCAAGCCACGATGCCTCGGACTTCACCTCGAACTCCTTTGCCATCAGCCAGACCAGACAAGCATCGGCGTGTTCGCCGTTCGCGTGGCGGAATGTGGCTATCTCAGGACGACTTGGACCGTTGGCAGGAGGAGAGAAAAGATCCCTATCGCCTCCCGTCATTCAAACACTCATTCAACGATGTAGCTATGACCGATTGTCAAACCAGCCATGAGAAACAGGCTTCCTCTGAACCGGCCGGAGGGGTGTTCAGTCTCGATGCTTATCGTATAAATCCTGTAGCTTCTTGCGCGCGCAATTGGCTTTTGAATGGTAAATAACTAGGAATGTTTAGATAGTAATAGATGAGCTGAGACTCGATCGAAAGCATATCATGAAGGCTAGCCTCTCAAGTTGCCGCTCAACTGCCTTATCTAGCTCATTGGTGAAGGTGCCAGGAATACTGGTGCAATACGTATGGGTGTAGTTTATACGAAATTGAAGTATAGTATGTATCGTTGACTATTTTTTGCATCTTTGAACGCCAATAGACACGCCAATTGTAAATGGCGATTCATGGGGGCCGAAAGAAGAAAAGAAGATAGGAGTATTTCTTCTTCATGCGGATGAGGCGCGTGGTTGAAACCGAAATTAGAATCGCATGGTTACCGCCCAGAAGCCTTTACAATGTCCGCAAAATCGATCCTAGAAACAATCGCAATCGGTCCGGGCAAAAACTCCCATGAAAAAGCGATTCGGCCTAGGAATCAAGCCCGAACCGAGAAATCCGTCCATGATGTGCCTAGTTTGTTGATCTACGGTTCACATGGCCCGGCACTTTTATGCGACCCAATGGGGACCATCCGCTAAAATGCGACGCTGGACCAACATCTTATTCCAAGGATTGTGTTCGCATCTCGGATTCCCCCTCACGGCATCTGTACAATGGCGTCAGATGATCAACAGTTGCACGATGTAACCTGAAGACAAAACTCTGCCGTGGCATGGAATCTCCAGCTTCTCCATTGCGGTGTACAGCCGCAATTTCCAGCACCTATGTCATGTTGGGGCATGGTCCCGCAGAGGGGAAAAGCGAATTGATAAGAGTAGGACAAGATGTAACAAGCAATTAAGCTTAACAAAAATATATGGAGCCCCGTGGATTTGTCGAAGAAGCCGTGAGAGTCAGGGGAACATGGATTGTTGTCTTTCTCCGCATTGATCGGCATCGGCTCCGCTCCTTCCATACCAACGTACTCTTTCAAGACTGATCCAACGGGTTGGGAAGATGAAAGACACCTATCCAGTAAGCCGACGGTACATAGTATCATGGGATGGATCCATTCTTTCCACCGCTCGTACTGCGTATACTTCTTGAACCTTGTCGTATCTGCATCTCCACATCACCCCTCATTATGAGGTAGAGAAAAAGCATCCATGCGTGGGACAACAGGCCATTGCTCGCATGCAGCGTATCATTGGGGTAGGCAGAGGAGAAGAAAAGAGGGGAAATGAGCTTGATTCAAGGGATCATCCTTGAGAATGTATCAGTATTTATAGACACACTTTCCCTCTGGTTCTGAAGAGAGGTAAGATCTCAGACAAAAAGGGTCGATGACCTCCCTTGAACTGAGCTTCCCCTTTCTGTAAATAAAACAATTGGGTATCCTGCATGCGGTAGGACCATCCGAAAAGAAAGAGCTCTGAATACGCTGAATATGTTTTCGGCGCGTCTGTTCGTGCTTGCCTGTTCTCTGGCGGCTGCCGTCGCGCAGAGCGGCAGTCCGGCCCCCTACAAAGTTCAGACACCGCCTTTGGACACCGATTGGACGTACAAAATTGGTACCAATCCATGGCCAGAACACCCCCGGCCACAGCTCCAGCGCGGTGCCTGGCAGAGCCTCAATGGCATTTGGACGTTTCAGCCTGCTGGTCCGAGTGATGGCGACTCCGATAGCCCTCCGGATGGCCCACTTCAGAGCGAGGTTCTGGTGCCGTCTTGTATCGAGAGTGGGCTCTCAGGACTTCAAGTTATTAACATCACCGACATGTGGTTTGCGACCAGCTTCAAGATATCGCAAAACTGGCAAGATCAAAGTGTGATCTTGAACTTTGAGGCAGTCGACTACCAGGCGGTAGTATTTGTGAATGGAGCCAGGGCCGGGACCCACACCGGAGGATATTTTCGGTTCGGAGTGGATATAACCAAGTTTGTCAAGTTTGGCGGCGACAACAGCGTGTAAGTCGTTTTTTCCCTCTTGGTGGCCGCGACAGCGTTATTCTTCACTGTGACAGCAGTGAGGATATGATTGGTGCCGATCTTGGATACTGATCACGAAACAGAACTGTATTCGTTCATGATCCAACAGACCTGGATGTCATTCCAATTGGAAAACAGACTCGAAATCCTAGCCACATCTTCTATCGATCTTGCTCCGGAATATGGCAATCTGTGTGGCTGGAAAGTGTACCTTCAAACCATATTACCCAGCTTGACGTTGCTGCTGCAATGGACGGCACAGGTACGAAACTACCAGAATATACCCTCTGCAGTAGCATGTGGTCCAGACTCACGGCTAACGCGATTGATAGTCTCTGTGACAGTCCACAGCTCGAACAAACAAGGCGCCTCTGCCAAGGTGTCCGTCATCGGACTCGACGGCCGCGTCATTGCTTCGCAGAAAGGTCCTTCCGATGAGGAGTTCAAGTTCAAGGTCAGGCAGCCAAAACTGTGGTCTCCGAGCTCTCCGACTTTGTATAACTTAACGGTGACTCTTGGTGAGGACGAAGTATCCAGCTACACTGGATTTCGCACTATTTCCAGTGGGAAAGTCAAGGGGGTCCAAAGGCCACTCCTAAACGGAGAATTCACATTCATGTTCGGCACGCTCGACCAGGGATTTTGGCCTGATGGGCTGTATGTGCCGCCGAACCGGGAAGCCATGGTATACGATCTGAAGATGCTCAAAGGACTGGGCTTCAACACCGTCAGAAAGCACGTAAGTAACCCGCTTTTCCGTCACCAGCTCCTTGTCGACTGGGTACTAAATTAAATCGTATCTTGCAGATCAAAGTTGAGCCAGATTTGTTCTACCGAGCTTGCGATGAAATTGGTCTGATGGTCATCCAAGACATGCCCAGCCTGACTAACGACGGGAGTCGGCCTCCGAATCCTGACCAACAGGCAGAATTTCAACGTCAGCTCGAAATTTTGGTCAACGAGCATAAGAGCTATCCGTCGATTGTTACCTGGGTTCGTTCTCTCATTGCTGCTAATAAGTAGTCTCCACGTTGATTCAAGCTAACGCCAAACCCGCGATGCAGGTTATTTATAATGAAGGATGGGGGCAGCTCAAGGGTCCACCATATCCTGAAATACAACTCGTAGATGTTGTTCGTGGCATCGACTCAACAAGGCTAATTGACGCGACCACCGGTTGGAATGATCATGGCGCAGGGGACTATTCAGTGAGTTGACTGCCATGTTTCATATATGAAGTGCTCGAGAAGAGAATGCGGACTGATGAATTCGTGATGAATAGGATAACCATCACTACGCCAATCCGCAATGCGGAACACCGTTTTACTCCACACCTTCTTCTCCGTATGACCCCAGCCGTATCGGCTTCCAGGGCGAATTTGGCGGCATTGGTCACAATGTGTCAATCGAGCAGTTGGTTTCCCTTCTCTCCTCTGCATCCGTCAACTTTTGGGGGAGTTCAGTGGCTAACAAACCAATTAGTCTTTGGAACGTTCAAGAGGCCATCAACACCATAAACCAAACTTACGAAGTCAATGCCGATCTGGTCTCATACAACTATCGCGCAAGTCTCTTGTTCCACGAGTTTTATGACCAGGTTGAGCGCTACTCTTGCAGTGGCGGTATCTGGACGCAGACAACCGATGTCGAGGGTGAAGTCAACGGTTTATACACGTATGACCGCCGTCTTTTGAGGCCAGATCCGAAGCAGTGGAAAAGCGATATCAACAAGCTATACTCGGCTGCGGCAGGAAGGCGATGATTGTGTAGGCCATATATGCGAGCCAGTATAGTGCAGGGTAGTGGTAGATGATAGTAGCTGCTCAATGATATCTAAACTCTGATCGATGTTTAATGTATGTAATGGAGTTGATTCTTTGGCTTTGTCTCAGAAGTGTCATCTTGTCCAGACAATTAATCGACTCCATTGAAACCGCCGTTGTGTTGTTGTTGGAGCGATAGTGCAAGATTTCCACCATTGAGGTGCTCTCTCAAAACGGCCACTCAGAGAATCCATGGCATCAGGAAGCTCTGGGGGCTAGGCTGATGTCCTGGTATCGAGAAATGGAGGAATCTTTGTTGAAAAGTGTTGAGATCTCTGGTATTGGTAGAAACTTCAATGCTCTGATGATGTTGGAATGCTGCCTCAGACATCAACTCTCGTCGATGCCTTCCACAACTGCAACGCAACTTGCCTCTCGCAAAACCTCACCCCCACCTGCCACATGCAAACCGCCACCAAATGAAGCTACATTGAGCACGTACCGCCCGTTACCAAAGGCGGCTAGATCAGGTCCAGAACATCTCCCTCGTTTCCCCACCATCCCGCAATCGTATTCGGACCTTTGACCGCTAGGCAGTTTCTGCGAAAGTTTGCAGCCAAAAGATTCAAAAGCCAGTTCATCGTCCCACAATCATGTGATAGAGCTCCTTTTCAGCATATTCGTCATGTCATGAACAGGGGGCCAATGCGATTATCAGTTTGATTTCGACTCTTCCAGATTGGTCAATTGCACAGCGTTTTCGTTTGGCTTGTGACAGTCTGTTGGACCGCCCAAGAAGAACGAACAATAAATACCTAGACGACGATACCATTTCCCGGCCCGCCCTCACTACAAGTTGCAACATTGGCTCTCCCGAGGGCCTTGCTATTCCTTCCATTGCATCGATCGACTTGATTCTCGACTCGACCATCCCGAACGAGCATTTGCAAGATCTTCCTCCTCTTCCACCCGGTACATATACAATTGCATTTCAATGTCGGAAACATTGATTTCAGAAACCCACACGCGCGAGCGGCGTGACCTCTACCATGAGGCCGATGTCGTCGTCGTCGGCGCCGGTGTCTTTGGTTGCGCGGCTGCCTTCGCTCTGGCAAACCAGGGACGCTCCGTGCTTCTTCTCGAGAGGTGGATGCACGAGCCTGACCGTATTGTGGGCGAGCTGCTGCAGCCAGGCGGTTTGACGGCCCTGAGAAAGCTGGGCTTGGGCCACTGCGTTGAGGACATCGACGCAATCCCCTGCTACGGTTACAATGTCATCTACCACGGAGAGCCATGCGCCATTCCCTACCCCGGGCTCAACGAAAAGGGCGAAGTGACACATGCGTGGGGAGGAAGAGGGACGGGCGGAACGAAGCAAGAAGGATGCGGCTTCCATCACGGCAAATTCATCTCACAGCTCCGCAAGGCGTGTCTGGGCCACAAGAACATCACAGTCGTCGAGACAGAGGTTGTCAAGACCATTCGAGGAGAGCACACAGACCAGGTCCTCGGCGTGGAGTCACGGACCACAGTCAACAAGGAGACGGGAGAGAAGAAGAGCGACTACTTCTTTGGCCAGCTCACCATTGTTGCCGACGGATACGACTCCAAGTTCCGAAAGCAGGTTCTAGAGACCAAACCCGTCGTCAAAAGCAAGTTTTATGCCCTGGAGCTGGTCAACACGAAGCTACCGCTGCCCTTCCACGGCCATGTCATTATCGGCAACGCCTTTCCCATTCTCCTCTACCAGATCGGCACTCACGAGACAAGAGCGCTCTTCGATGTGCCCGCAAACATCCCCCAGGCCTCTCCCGAAGCCGGAGGCGTCCGCGGCTACATCAAGAACTGCGCCATCCCCGTGCTCCCCGAGGCCATCCGCCCGGCTGCCGAAAAGGCCCTTGCCGACGGCAAGATCCCCCGCAGCATGCCCAACAGCTGGCTCCCCGCCGTTCCCCAGACCCCGAGCGGCCTCGTCGTCCTTGGCGACGCCCTGAACATGCGGCACCCTCTTACCGGCGGCGGCATGACCGTTGCCTTCAACGACGCCCTGTTGCTCTCTGAGCTGCTGCATCCCGATGTCGTCCCAAACCTCGAAGACAAGGCGGCCATTCGCGACGCCATGAACAAGCTCTACTGGCGCCGCAAGAACTTCACCAGCATCATCAACACCCTCGCCCAAGCCCTCTACTCTCTCTTCGCCGCCAACGACCGCCAGCTGCGCGCCCTCCAGTTGGGCTGCTTCGAGTACTTCCGCCGCGGCTGGACTGATGGGCCGGCTGGCCTGCTCGGCGGCATCATCCAGCGACCCCTTGTGCTGGCGTACCATTTCTTTTATGTCGCCTTTGTGGCCATTTGGATGAACGGGTGCAACGTCATTGGCGGACCACTTGGCTTCTGGAAACTGCCCCTCGCGCTGCTCGATGCCGTTCTCATCCTGTGGAAGGCCTGCATCGTCTTTTTGCCAGTTATCTGGAGAGAAGGCTTCCAATAAAAGAAGAAAATCAGACCAAAACAGAATCCAACAACTTTTTTAATACCTTGTTTCTTATATATATATATATATGTTTCT